TAATTTGCAAAAATTTGTAAAAAAAAATTAGTAAACGGATCTTTTCCTATATATATATATATATGAAAAAGTGTTTGTCATATTAAATGACATAAAATTATGTCATTTTAAGAGAAAGATAGACACAAAATATTATTTTTTATTTAAAATTAAAATTAAAATAAATCATTCACTTTCTCCCTCACGATTTTTGTAACATCCCCGTCTCGAGCCGGTTCAATTAACATACATATGATAAAACAGAAAACAGCGGAAGACTTAACTTACGAAAATATGAGCTAACTTTTTCTTTTTCTAACTTAATTCTTTCTCGGCGTAAACGAAAATCGGGCAGAGTTTCCTCTATAAAGCGGACAACTGGGGATTTTCCAATCCCACTCAGAAGCATTTCCTGATAAACAGTTTATACAACATATCAATTCGGAAATACCAGATATCCAAATATAATCGAATACCCATACATGGGCGCATGCATAACATGGCTCCGTGCCGCTAAATCTAACAGCATGCCATCAAAACATAAACCTATCTGAATACTACATCATCATATAACGTTCCTGAATACCCAAATGTACATGCATCAAACTGACAGACATGTACAAAACATATACAGGCCATATACAAAATAAAGGATCAATATCATGATCCATCAAATGCGAAAATACTAAAATACATCAAACACTCCAAAAAGGTAGCAGCCTACAGCCACTCAAAATCCGGTCTGTCAACTGCCTCAGCCACGTGTCGTGTCCCTGCCTAGTGAGGACTCACCGGAAATCTGGGCACCTGAAAATGTGTCCCCAAAGAGGGGTGAGATTACAAATCTCAATAAGCTCCAGGTTTATAGAGAATTCTCCATACCCCTGGCTCACTCCTGCATGAAAGTCAGATACAGAGTATACAAATACAACATATAACAGATATCATAACAGAACAGAGCATATATCCATATCATATCAGAGATGTGCGCCGTCATTCCCAAGGGAGGACCCCAAGCGGAAATCAACGCACGTGTTCCCGAGGGAGGACCCCAAAGCGGAACCAGACATATCAGAGGAGTACACCATCAGTCCCGAGGGAGGACCCCAAAGCGGACGTCCGGGTACTATACAATCAATGGCCAGAGATTGTTACAGAAATCAAATTACAGAAGTCACATCAGAGCAAAACATATCATGTTATCAAATAACTCTATATGAATGCATCTATACAAAGCATCTAAATCACAGTCATACAGTCCAACCATAGTTCACTAACCATGGTGGAGCACTCAAGCAGGAAAAGACTCCTTAAACATAGAGCTTACCTCTTGAAGCTTTACCAATACGCTTACTTGTGGAACAAGTTACTTTTATCGCTTCAAGAGATTTCCGATCCTTCTCAATCCCTAGGCACACCTAGAGAATAATTTACAATGCATCAATAAAATGATGCAATACCATAATTATTTCATAAGCATACATTTTATCGCTTATTTTCCTTTCTTTGCATTTTTGCCAATCCTATGCCAATACACAAGTCTAGACCTCTTTATAACCGTTGGTGTTCTTTAATTTAATCAACCATTCCCTTAGGAATTTTCAACATAAATCATGCTATTTTTCTTCAAAACTCATCACCTTTATACAATTTGTTACAACACATTTTATTTACAATAAAATGTACAAAATATGTCCCTAAATACCCTATAGGTCGAATCCTACAAGGGGAATTTCCAAAGATCCTTCTCTTTTACAATGCATTTTCGTTACTTCATTACAACTTGCAAACACCTAGGAATGCTTCCACTAAATTCCTATTTTGAGTTTAGACACCAAGTCCTTTTTACTTAGGCATTCTTACTAACTCATCCATTTTCACTCATTTCCAACACACTATACCTTCACAATACATAATATAATTTTTTCCACAATAACTCCTACTCACTCCATGATGGCCGAAACCTAGGAGGAATATGCAATAGGACTTTTAAATTTTTATATCACATGTGGATGCTTACTCAACACTATAACTTCCTAAACAACAATAATCCATCATAAATTTCACATTCTAACATCAATTATTTCCCAACAAAATATGCTCATCAATTTCATAACTTAAATCATCAAAATAATATCATGGAAATAGAGGTTTCTTACCTCTAAACACTTGTACAAAGCCTAGAGAGCAATCTCCAAGCCAAGCTTCATCCAAAAACTCACTTTTTCTCCTCCAATGAATAGTAACTCGAAAATGAGAGGAGGAATAACTCTTCACACACTCAACTATAGCTCAAATGGATAGGTGGAATGGATTCATTGAGTGGTTTCCAATCAATTTCATGTGGTGGGTCATTGGATTTGGTGGATGGATGATGAAGAAATCAAAGAAGGAAAATTTGAAACCCTAGCCCCTTCCCCTCCATGTGCAGCTCGGCCATGCAAGAGAGAGAAGAAGAAAATCTGAAATGAATAGTGTTTCATTTAAGTGACAAGGCTATATAGGCACATGTGGCCATTTTCATCGGATGTTTTTTTATCGCGTATTTTAACTTAAATTGACCCGGAACTAACTCAAAGCTACAAACATATTTTTTATTTCCTAAAATCATTTACATTAATTTTTTATTTCCTAAGGAACAATATTCATAATTCACAGTATGGTTTTTGCACCGTTTTTGACGAAATGCACTGTGCATCACTAATTGTACTTCCTTTACTTACGAAACTTAAAACTTATAAACTTATCATTTTCTTGGGCCTATATTGACTTGCTTGGCATATATTGGACTTTCTTATTCTTATTTCATCAATTATTTATTTCTGGACTCTACCGGTTGCTTAAACAACAGTACAAAATACCCAGTAGAAACACTATTCACGAGATTTTCACGGAAAGTGCCAGACTATACAATTTTTCGTTCTGAACTCATATTTGTCATCAGAATTTTCAAATTATGTTCCTAAAATTATTTTGCTCATTTTAAGCTCTACCGGTTAATTCACAAAACTGTAAATTCTCCGGCAGAACGCACTGTTCATAACATAGTCATGATTACAGTCAAAATACTCGAAATCGCTCACTGAATCTAATTATGGCATTTAAATCCTTAAATTAAATCTCTAACTAAGATTTACCAGTTAGGGTCATTATAATTTTCATTCCTTGTGTCTATCTATCTCCTAAAATGACATAACTTATATAATTTAAAATGACAAACATCAAACTCATATATATATATATATATATATATTAATATGTATATATATATATATATATTATTTATGTTTAACTAGACTTCGATTTAAAATAAGGGTAATGTAACTCATATTACATAACAAGGAAACCATCTCCTTCACACTCTTTGATTCTCGAGCCTGTCTTGAATATTTTTAACTAAGGGTTTTATAAGAGTTATGTTGTAGGAAAAGTGATTGTGTAATGTTATAGAGATTCGTTTTGCGTGCCTTAATTTTTTATTTATTTTTTTGTTTTAAAAAGTGTGGGCCCCACAAAATATTATGAGAGTAGGAAAGTTTGTTGTGTTATGTTAAAGAATAAAATGAAAACCCTTTAACTAAACTATTTTTTTTAAGAAATTGTGAGTCCCACAAAAATATGTGTCGGCAGGAAAGTTTGCTTTTCTCCTACAAATTTTTTTTAATAACCCCCTTAAATTAAACCTAATTTGAATAACTAATACAAAAAAATTTAGTTAAAAATTATCAATACTATAAATAAAATCTATTAGACCAACTATATATATCCGTTAAAGACAACCTAAAATAACATAGAAGTAAACAAGATAGAAACTAGGGATGAATTGGTTAATTAAGTTGGGTAGTGGAGAGAGGGAATGTGAAAGAATGGAGTGGCTTGCATTTCGCCAACACTATCTGAATCTGTTTCCTTCTAGTAGAAACAGAAGCAGAAAAAGAACCATTTTATGAAGACCCCGTCAATGAAAGTAAACAAACAAAAAACGGCAAACTCTAAAAATGAGTTGCACCAACCTGGCTTCCCGTGTTGGCCTTTATATCATAACCTCACTTTTTGAGTTATATTCGGATCATAAATTTGCGTTTCTTTTGCTTTTCTTATGCCTACATTCCTGTTGCAAGGTATCTTCTCCAAAATATCTATCTTCATTTTATTTTTCTTTCTTCTACTTCTCCTGAATTATCTCATCTGTGATGTTTATTCATGAACCTTTTGAGCCACCATAGATTCCATTTCCTCGATTTCTAGCTGCTTGAACTACTTTTTATCTTTTAAAGTATATATCAGTATAACAATATCTATCTTTATTTTCTGGCTTTTTTGTTTCCATGCATGCTGAATATGAAGAAGGTTGATCGATGTTACTATTGTGACATTAATGTGTTATGATTGTAGCATTGACGATGGTTACTATTGTAAATGCTACAATATTAACAATTGATTTGTTTTAGGGAAATAATTATCTTACGATAATTATCTCATGCAACATATACAAAATAGTGGGATCTACTATTTCTTTTTCTTTTTTTGAAAAAGTGGTGGACCCCACTATTTTGTCTCTGTTGCATGAGATAATTATCTCATACAACATGAGATTTTAATAGATCCCTTTGTTTTATGGGAAAAAAGTTTCTATGTTACTTTAGACAATTTTGTCTAATATTCATTAATACGACGTCGTTTTGGGTTGAAAAAATTAAAAAATTAGAATGATTATAACTCTGAAATAAATTAAAATTACAAAAACACCATGATTTCCGTCCCAAAACGACGTCGTTTTAATGAACATTAAATGAAGTTATCTAAAGTAACTTTAGAAAGAAAAAAAAAACCCTTGTTTTATCGCTAAAATAATTGGGTTTTTTCAGCTTCTAACTTTTTGTTCATGATCATTGATAAAAGGTTTAGGCGCAAGTGAGGGTTCAATTGTGGGCTTTTGTTATATGTGAGTTGTTGATTCTCTTCTGCCTTACGGATATTTGTGCTCATTGGAGTAAGCTTACGAGATTCAATAATTAATCATGTGTGACACTATGTCCACACCTTGTACCGATCGACCTGTTAAAGGTGATTAAGTCTATACTTCATCGCAATTTCATCATCCCTTTTGCTCATTTACTTATATAATTTCATGCACGTACTTTGAAATCTTTATCTATATTCTGTATGTTCATGTTTGTGTTGGAATATGAAATGGCATGCCATAACAGTTTTGCATACTTTTTAATACATGACGGTAAGAAAATTGAAAATTAAAGGAAACTGAAAACAGATTATCATAACAGATCACAAGCATTTAGAATGTTCTTAAATATCTTATTAGATCTTATTCATGCCGTTTAGCCAGGCGAAGATCAATGGTAGAAATATGGTTTCCTTTAAAATATCTCTAATCTAAATATATGACCGATGCATAAATGTTTTGTGGTTAGCAATTACTATGGATATGTAAAAATATGAGGATATAAAATTCTTACAGCCAATAAAGTTGTACCAGTGTGTTGCACCAAAGATGATTCATTAGGGTAATTATGAGGTTAATAACAAAGAGAAAGCACTTGTATATGAATCCAAATTAATGTTGTACCATGCATTTGACAAAAATGTACTTCATATTTGTTAAACAAGATATGTCTAGGTTGTGTTTCTATCTTGTCTTCTTGTTAAAACTTCTGTGAGTAAATTTCTTCTTTCTGCAAAAACAGGTCTTGATATTGAATATTCGGAGGATGAAAAGAAGAAAAGGATTGGGTCTTTAAAGAAGGTAGCAATCAGTGCATCTTCAAAGTTCAGGCATTCCTTGACAAAGAAGGGGCGTAAGCACAGCAGGGTTATGTCTGTTGCTATTGAGGATGAACTTGATGCAGAGGAGTTACAGGCTGTTGATGCTTTTCGTCAAACACTTATCTTGGAAGAGCTATTACCCTCAAAACATGATGATCATCATATGATGCTAAGGTAGCCCTTGGACATAGTTTTGTTAAAGAAATATAATATAAAATTATTAGTGTAGTTTTTATGTAATAGTTTAAACTTTTAGGTTGAATTAATTTTTTACATGATATCAGAGTTTTTTTGTCATCCGCTCCTCATTTTATTAACAATAATTAAATATTTACAAAGTTTCTTATCATAGATAGGCAGGGTATGTGTATTATCCATCCTTCAAGCCTAATAGACTCTTGTGCGAAGGGGATTGTGACTTTAAGTTTTTGAGTTGAATTGGTTTTTTACTAGCTTATTCAATTATTTATTTACTAATATATTGTTGTAGACTTGTAGCATGAGTAGAATCATTTAGTGCCTTAATTGCAAAGTTTTGACTAAGCTATCGATTTACTATATGATGACCCAGATTCTTAAGAGCAAGGAAGTATGACATTGAGAAAACAAAACAAATGTGGGCTGATACGCTTCAGTGGAGGAGGGAGTTTGGTGCGGACACCATCATGGAGGTAATTCTTGTCTATAAAGAAAAAAACTCTGTTCATAATTATGTTTTTTTATAAAACATTTTGTTTATGTGGCTAACCGAAAATTTCTTATGTTTTTGTTTAAGGATTTTGAATTCAAGGAGATAGATGAAGTTCTAAAATACTACCCGCAAGGGCATCATGGAGTTGATAAGGAAGGACGACCTGTTTACATAGAAAAGTTGGGTCAGGTTGACTCTAACAAGCTGATGCAAGTAACAACTATGGATCGTTACCTTAAGTACCACGTAAGAGAGTTTGAGAGGACATTCAATGTTAAATTGCCTGCATGTTCAATTGCTGCAAAGAAGCACATTGATCAAAGCACAACTATCTTGGATGTGCAAGGAGTGGTATGTGTGAGATTATACAACACTACAACCATTTAGTTCTTCAAACCCAAATAAAACCAGCAAGAGAAAAGAACTATTATAACACATTAATTAAATTATAGTTACCATAACATTTCCAATTATACTTGTGAATATCATATCAGTTGTTATATATGTAAAAGATGTTTCATACAACTTCTGACTAGCATGGTTGCTCAGGGTTTCAAAAGCATGAACAAAGCTGCAAGGGATCTCCTCCAGAGGCTTCAGAAGATTGATGGTGACAACTATCCTGAGGTACTAGTTTAGTTACATTAGTTGTCTCCCTAGTTCAAATTCCATCTTCTGAATTTACCCTAATTGAACTTTTTCTTTTCATATAGAGCCTGAACCGTATGTTCATCATCAATGCTGGTTCTGGATTTAGACTGTTGTGGAACACTGTTAAGTCGTTCCTTGACCCCAAGACCACCTCAAAAATCCACGTATGCATTTTTTTATATACTTATTGCTTTGAAGCAATGTTGATTTCAATTAAGTAGGAGCACTGAACGGATTAATTATATTTATTTACCAGGTCCTAGGTAACAAATACCAGAGCAAGTTGCTTGAAATCATTGAAGCCAGGTTATTTTTCTTCTCCTGAAGTATTTTATCTAAATTTCATCTCAATTGAAATTTAGGGCATGTTGAGACATAGTTTAGATTGAGTAATGTTAACCCTTTATAACCAAATTGATTATGTTCTTGCAATATGTCAGTATGTCATTGAATAAGTGAATAATAGTACTACTTAATACTATACAATAACACCTTGTTTGTATGTATTATTTACCAGTGAACTTCCAGAGTTCTTGGGCGGTACTTGTACTTGTGCAGACAAAGGTGGCTGTATGCTTTCTGATAAGGGACCATGGAATGACCCAGATATCTTGAAGGTAGTTATTCAATGCAGAAAGATCAATTTCTTTTTAGTTATATAATTAGAAAGGAAACTATAAAGTGTTTTCTTTGAATGAATTAGATGGTTCAAAATGGCGAGGCAAAATGCAGCAGGAAAACCTTATCCGGAATTGAAGAAAAAACAATCATTGAAGATGAAGCAGCATATCAACAGGTAGTTAGTTACCTACTTCTTTACAATTTCAACTGCAAAGTTTTGTTCAGAAACTTTCTTCCCGGTATTTTTATTTGCCAGAAAATTTGATAACTTGACATTCTTTATTTTCCTATAATATTAAGGAATGCGATGTGCAAACTTTGCTGCCAAAAGTGGAGTATCCCGAACCCTGTAATGTTCCAGAAGTAAGTTTATCAGGCTTCCATCAATTGTTTCTCCCATCCTTTGTGTATTACTTCTTGCATGAACAGTTGATTTATCTAGTAATGGTTGTTGACTGAGTCTATAAACTCAAGGCTATGTTTAGTAATCATTTATAAGGTGGGGAACAAACACATTTTTGTTGATACCCAGCAAAACCAGACTAAGCTTCATTACTTGATAAAATTTAAAACAAATTATTAATTTCATATGAATTTCACTCGTTTCTGGCTGCAGAATTAACCTGTTATTTGGGTTTGCAGTTCACAAAACAATGTAATGTATATCAGTATGACGCCTTTGTCCCAGTGATTGACAAGCCAGTGAATAATACATGGAAGAAAGCAGTACAAAATGATCAATTTGCACTTTCTAAAGGTAAATTATTTGGTATTGTTGTATGATTGTACTTACTGGTCAAAATTATATAAAATACTGCTCACTCCAGTTTCACCAATATAATCCATTAATCAGCATTATTTACACGTTAACAACCAATATATACATGATAATGTGGCTGAGACCTTAAAATATTAAGTATATTTTCCTTAAGCTGCAGATTGTAGCAAGTCTTCTGATGGGTCTAGAAATCAATTTGTTGGTGGAATGATGGCCTTTGTTATGGGAATAATAACATTGGTACGCTTGACAAGGAACATGCCAAGGAAAATCACTGAAGTTGCCCTGTATGGTAGCTCAGTATATTATGATGGGAATATGATGAAAGCACCTGCCATTTCCATTGATGATCACATGGCCCTGATGAAGCGCATGGCTGAACTAGAAGAGAAGGTGAATGTCCTCAGTGTGAGACCTTCCATGCCACCCGAAAAGGAGGAATTGCTCAATAATGCTCTAAACAGAGTTAGTATGCTGGAACAAGAATTGGGTACCGCCAAAAAGGTATTACTGGTTTTCTTATGTTATGTCATCATCATTTCGAAACAACATTAACATATGATAAAAGCATCTTATAGTAGATAGATACGTGTGCTAACTACTGACATATTTGTATTTTTTTTTTTTTTTTGGCTTCCTTTTCGGCTTTAGGCACTTGATGAAGCCCTTGCTCGACAAGAGGAGCTCCAAGCCTATATGGACAAAAAGAAAAAGAAGAAGAAGCTGGTAGGTCATTGAACTTTTAACACTGATTCATTACTTGCCATGCATTTCTATAGATACTTCTGCAGAGTGCTTTCCCTTACACAAGTTATTTGGGTTTGTGATTGCAGTTCCGCTGGTAAGGTGATAGGGACGTATTGCTGTCTGAACTTGAATTTTTAACATTAGTAAGAGGTGCAAACTTGGTGGCGTTTATCTATCATCAGCCCCATTGAATGCTATGCATTCAGCCCTGTGTAATTTGTCCATTATTCGACTGAAATCATATGTATAATAAAGTGTTCCATTCCTTGACAATTGTGTATATGTTGAATAAAACTAGGCCGGTTTGGTTTAACAACCAAAAACAGATAGTTTGCTTAACAAACTGTCTTTAAGCAATCGGAAGTAACAAGAGTTTCGTAAAATCCTTTTCCCCCTCACAAAATTATTCTTCATAATGCGTAACATGCAAAAAGATTTTTTGAAAGTATCTCGTGCATACACATGCTATATTTTCCCTCTCTTTTGTAGTAATTACATCTTGTGGAAAGACAAGGTTGTCGATTTTTGTCAATTTTCTAAGAAAGGAAAAAAAAAGACTTTTCCTTAATAATTTAACCTAATGCCATCAGCTTAATCCTCTTATCCTAAATTAGTCCCTCTGACAAAAATGAAACTTCATCTCAACCGTCTACAACTTTTCTTTATTTTGGGTTATTGAATCTACTCATTCAGTCGTTTGGACCATATATGCACAAGCCCCTTACAATCATTGAGTTTTAATTTGGAGAAATTACATTCGCATTGCTTGGGAGTCTTAAAGATTTACTAAGGCTTACCTTGAAATGACTGGCCTAGTTTCCGAAACACATTTGCCAAGAAAATTCTAGTTGAAGATTATTTCTATTGACCTTTGTTTCCCCTTGATTTTATTGCAGAATTAATAGTTTTTTTTTTTGGAATAATTACCAGCCAAAAACATCTTTTAAGCCAACCCCCAAATAGATTAATATTCAATGCATGTTATGAGAGATCAAAAGAACAAACGCTTTTCCAACCAACCAAGATAATCACACCAAATTCAACATTAAACAAAGGTAGCCAGAAATAAAAACAATAGAGCTAGAAAAAACAGCAAAGCTTGTGTTTAAGCCAGCAAAAAACCCATTCTAGCTATTACACAAGTTTGAAACAATTCTTCATGGAGTTTACTATGTAAACTAAATCAGTGTTCAGAGTTTACATCATGACAAGGTCAACACTCCTTAGAAACATCATGATTTTAAAAACACCCACATCTAGCGTCTCTCTTTCTAACAGCAACAAAACTCACCAGCAAAACTTCTTCTTCTGAGTAACAAGCAGCAAAATGAAAGAAATAGAAATATCAGAAATCTGAAAAATGTCAGGTTTTGTGTTCAAAAGATACATGTGATAACTTACCCGTAACTTAGCTTCTTCTTGTCTGTCAATGTAAGCAAGCAACTCTTCTTGCCTCATCAAAGCTTCATAGAGAGCCTATTGCACAATCCAGAACAAAAGCACAAAAATAAATATGGGGGAAAAGATATGCATGCATAAAGAGAACAAAAGCACAAAAGCACAACTGCAATGCGCAATTTGGATAATTCACCATGAAAAAATGAAAAACTATGCATTCATCAGATCTCCACAGCCATAAAATGACATTTAGGAAATACACCCAAAAATAAATATGGGGTAAAAGATATGCATGCATAAAGAGAACAAAAGCACAAAAGCACAACTGCAATGCGCAATTTGGATAATTCACCATGAAGTGAAACTATAAAGAAATGATAATCTAAAACAATTAAAACTTCTGTAACATAATTAGCATTAGTAGAAAAACATTTAACAAATATTGTGCCTCAGTTCCATGCAGATTGAAAGATTTTTTTAACACTAAATGTAAGATAATCAGAAATGAAGAAAAACATCGCATGTGCGTGTTTGTACATTCACATAGCCGTCAGCTAATGAAAACAAGGCATATTTTTAGTTTTAAATAAAGATGATAAACAAATAAGAAAAAGAAGAAATAAATATACCTCAGTGTAATAGATATGCACATATAAAGTGCATCATCACGACTGCAGTTTCTTAAAAAGTAAAGGAAAACAAAATTATAGCATCCTACCTTTTTAGTTGCAATTAACTCTGCTTCCAAAGCATCCACCCGGCAGACAGCAGCATTTAGCAATTCCGCTTTCTCATAAGGCATCTCAGATGGCTTAGATTGGAGCGTGTCAACCTTCTCTTCAAGCTCACCTAACCTTTTCGTCATGGAGGAAAGGAGAATTGCCTCTGTATTAGCTTGAGTCAGTGAAGGAGGAAGATCATCTTCCTTGTTTGTTGCATTAACAGTTGGCTCTAAAGTACTCTGATAATCATCAGATGATACTGCAGGAAGTTTCTTGGTCACACGGCATGTGACTGATCGGAAGAGAGTAAATAGGGTCAAACAGAAGACAGTAAGGAATACCCAAATCCGAGCTCGAATCCCTTCAGAAGTTTTTGGAGGGTCAGGAAGGGGTGTTCCTGTAATGGAAAATTAAATTTAATATTCCCATAACAAATTACATCACATAATTCAAATTAAGAAACCCAGCAAACCACCAGCTCTCCCAAATGCTTAAGCTTTTAGGTGCAAGCTCGGGACTTCTGGATTTACTTACATCCCAAACAAACCCCTCAAACAAAAGCCTTTTGCTCATAAAGCACTGACAAAGAACAAATACCATGTCAAGTGCCCAAGGATCAACTCTTCCAAGAGCTTAGTGCCTGTTTGGAAACTCTTATTTTTAGCTTTTCTTATCTGTATAAACAAAAATTTAGCCAAAACATAATATTACAAAAGCTCTTATCATAAAAAAAAAAAAAAATTTATTAAAGAAGAAAAAGATAAAAAGCTAAAAGCTCACAAGAGGAGCTTTTTTTAAGACGTATGTCAGTTTTTTGGAATTCTCATATTTATTTTTCAATTTTACCCTTATTCTAAACCTGTATTTATAAATTTTATCATTTACCCTAATAACAAATTATTTCATCTCTCTCTCTTCAAAACCTTAAAAATAACTTTATGCAATTATCAAACAGCTTTCAGCTTTATTTTTTAAGTTTTTTTTAATTTTAGCATAAAAGTAGCTTTTACCTTAAAAAAAAGTTGTGCCAAAAAGACTCTAAAATTCTTTAAGTGCAGGACCTGATATTCTGCGTCTCGAAACAAGAAATTATTCAGTGCAACAGATGTAGTTACACCATTTTCACAGGTTGAAATACTCTAACTTGTTTTTAAAATTGGAGAAAATTTTCAAATTTGAAAAACTGAAAATATTAGGTTTTAAAAGCAAAGGAGTGGATTGTGCAATTTAAGGCAATAGGTGAATGGTGCACAGCATACTGACAACAAGAGGATGAGCACTAAAAGAAAACAAGTTCATCTCTTCAATAAAGCCTACCAAAATATCAGTTCATTTCAATCCAACATTGATTAGTTCATAATTCATGATTTAATTGAACATTATCTTTTATTTATGACACATTATAGACTGAAGCTCGTGACATCAATACATTCCCAGCCATCAAATTTCTTACAAAGGTTAGGGGACAATTAGTGTGACTATGCTGAAAATGAAATGGGTTTTTATGGAGATTTAGAACACAAAGCACTCACAATTTTGATGTACAGGATTACTTTTTGAAGAGTCTTATTGACTTTTGGTCAATAATCACCATGAGAAGATTCATATAAAATTTATATCGACTATAAATGTTAAGCTACAGTTGTTAACCTTTTGAAGAATGAGACCTCTGGAGTGGTGCTTGATTCTTCCAGGTAGCATCAACAGCTTTGTCCACCATTGGAACATATTCGTCATAACCAGATAAGTTACCCCTACCAGCATAGATTGACTTTCCAACTACCTTAGACTGACAAAGAACACAATGATAATAACTTGAGTTAGCGACAGGCTCCTTGACAAGCATTACATTTTGATAATCCTCATGATATCTTCAGACATTGTGAATACTTACTGTACATTTAAATAAATACACACTAAACTCACTGAATAATAGGTGTAAGAATGACGAAAGAAGATTTTGCTGCCATTAAATTTAGAAAGGGGAGGAGAGGTGCACAAAAGAACTGCTGTTCAATGAAAACAATTAGAGTTAACAGATCACAAGATCAACACTTACTTCCTCATGAACAGGGGTCAACATAAGGTGTGAGTAACTTTTCACCGCTTTTGGAGAAGCTATATCTTCAGCTTCAGACCCCGATTCAGCTGTGGACGTATCACTGCCTTTTACCTGCAAGAAAGAAGTGACATAATCAATAAAGTTATATAATGAAAAGGACACTGAAGAGGTATAAAGGAACAAAATCGGCCTCCTTTCAGTTCAAGCAATAATAATTTATAAAACAAATTACCATTGGATATCGTGGTTTGACGTAGGCAATAACCTTCCCTTCACTGTTTAGAACTTTTACTACCTGCCTTGTCCCCCGGGTTTTACCGCTGAGAATCATCTGCAAAATGTCCACATGCAATCAACAGTAAGCATATAACAAGATAAATATAGTAGAACACTTGTTGAACCTATCAAAGGGCAAGTCAGGCGAGCATACAACCTTCAATATTTCAGGATTTTTCCAGGGCCCTTTATCGGATCTGAGACACCCTCCCTGATCTGCACAGGTGCAGTTACCTCCCAGAAATTCTGGCAACTCACTTCATTAAGTTCACAAAAATATTAGGCATTTTGAAGGATGATACAAATTACAAAGTAGTTGCGATGCTAATATATTAAAATACATTGGTCAGTTGAAAAAAAAAACAAAATTACAAAAATTCAAAGATACAGAAAAAAAATGTAAAAAATAGGTCCATTAAGTACCTGGCATCGATTACTTCAAGCAATTTGCTTTGATACTTATTTCCAAGAACCTAAGTAATGTTTCCAAAGAAGCATCAAGCACTGTCAGCAGCCTTAAACCATCATGAAAAGAACCTTAGACAGCTAAAATATAGCATATTTACGTACATGAATCTTTGAAGTTGTTTTTGGATCAAGGAAAGATTTGACAGTGTTCCACAGTAACCTAAACCCAGGGCCAGCATTTATGATAAACATTTGACAAAGAGTCTGTATCATTGATAAATGAACAAATAAATCATTAATCACTCAGACCGTAGTACATGTTCATCTATAAAATTATCGATAA